CTACTCACTATTTCTGCTACCGGTTCTCCAGAACTGGTCAGAACCTGCTGAATACCACCTCTGCTACAGGGGTGTCAAACAGAAGGCAACAAATTTCACTGAGGGCTGCCTCAGAGTTGTGCTTGACCTTGGGTAGCTGGGCTGGACGTGGCCGGGGTGGGCATGGCCAGTTCGACATCACTCATGTCGGGGGCACCTATGGTGGCCCAAGCACTCTTCCAGTGAAAATGGGCTCTTGAGCTCCATTTTTGGCTGCGACAGCCTCCTGCAACTTTCTGCCAGCGAAAAAGGAACTTGGGAGGGCCATATGCAGAAGAAGAAAAATAACTTTATTGTCATTGTACAAGTGCAACGAAACAGCTGCACCCCAGCAACTGTTTGCAATACAATAAAACCAGAGCACTTAAAGATGAAGATAAAAAAAATAGAGTACCCGCGTCTCCATTTGCAATTAGAGAGTACAATATCTATAAATATACATAAAATATACATCCAACACTACTGTGATGCTTTGCTGAGTGTAATACACAAGAGATGGATTGTACTGTAATATGTTATTATACATCTGAATGAGGTATTTCTATTTCACATCTTTTCACATCTTAATAAGGTAGTGACTTTGTATTTATTTGCAGTTCGGATGGCCCAGGGAAAGAAACTATTTGTTAGTCTAGTGGTGTGGGATTTTATTGACCTAAAGCGCTGTTCAGACGGCAGCAGGTCAAAAAGCTAATTGCCAGGGTGTGATGGGTCTTCTATGATGGCCTTGATTCTGCTTTGGCAGCAGGACCTGGCTAAGTCTTCCAGGGAGGGCAGAAGGCAACCAATGATCTTTAGAGCTGTGTTTATCACCCTCTGTACAGTTTTCCTGTCCTCAGCTGAGGAGCCTGCATATCACACACCCAGACAGTATGTCAGAGTGCTCTCCACAGAGGCTTTATAGAAAGCCAGCAACAGCTTCTTATCCAGATTGTTTTTCCTGAGAACCTGCAGGAAGTGCAGCCACTGCTGAGCCTTCTTCACTATGGCCTTGGTGTTAGGAGACCAGGAGATATCAGCAGAAATATGGATGCCAAGGAATCTGATTGTAGGGACAGTTTCCACTCATTCTCCATTGATGTTGAGTGGGGCATGGTCCTGTCCATGTTTCCTGAAGTCCATAATCAGTTCTTTGGTTTTATGGACATTCAGTGACAGATTGTTCTGTGAACACCAGTTAGACAGGTTCTCTACTTCTGCCCTATATGCCGTCTCATCCTCTCCGGAGATGAGACCAATCACGGTCGTTCCGTCCGCAAACTTTATGATGATGTTTGTTGCATGGCTTGGTGAGCAGTCAAAGGTGTACAAGGCATATAGCTGGGTGCTCAAGACACAACCCTGGAGGGAGCCAGTACTGAGTGTAATTGTGGAGCCCTCCCAAGCTCCATTTTCACTGGCAGAGGCACTGCGGGCTGGTCCTTCACTGTTTCCAGGGTGGCCCTGTGGGCCAGATCTAAGCACCTCATGGGCGAGATCCGGCCCCCTGGGCCTTGATTTGACACTATGTATTAGTACTAGTACTAGTGTTAAAATGTCATCTAGAAAAAATTCTGGATTTCCTTTATTTTCAGTGACATCATTTTAAACATAGGAAATCATCATTGTTCATTTTAGATTTTGGAGATTCTTGCTTATCCAAAAGCGTACAAAAGGTCTAACTTCAATGTCATCTGCTTCCTCTCACAGGCTGTCTTAAAACTAAAAATGAAGACCCTTGTTTCTTGACATTCTTTTCTTCCTATCTCTTGTTTTGCTTAATTTATAGTCTCACCAACTTTTTCTCCTCCAGGTGGCTTAATAATTAATAATAATTAATCTCCTAAGCAGGATTGTACATATTACTAGTTTTCTCAACAGTTTTTGGTTCTTGTTCTTGCTCTTCTTTTTCTTTTCTTTCCCACCAGTAAATGTAACAGCTAGCATATGAGTTGACTAACATTGGATTTGCATACAGATGCCAACTTCATTGGAAGTCATGTAATACTGATGGATTTAATATTAAAGGATTTGAGTTTTGTATTTGTTTTATAATGTTATTTATTATTCTTAGTGGTAATTAGCATTGCGCTTTCTTGTTTTGAGTTTACTGATAATTTTTGACTTACGAGAATTACACATATGTGGCCAGAAAATTCATAATTAAGTGGTGTAATCATTAAGTTAGGAATCACATGGTCATTAAGCAAATCATCACATGATAGTCATTTGGAAACTTACTGACTAGCTTACTGACTTTGGTTGCCATAAACCACCTGGGAAGATCACAAGTGATCATGTTGTCTCAGGGCATTGCAATCAATATAAATGCATGCCAGTTGCATTTACGCCTAAATAGCAATCACATGACTGTTGGGATGCATACAACCATGCCATAAGTGTAAGGATCTGTCATGTCACTGTTTTCAGTATTGTTGTTACGTCGAATATTTGCTGAATAAATGGTTTTAAGTTAAGGACTACCTGTGATGATGTTTTTAATCAAATGTATGCCACATTGAGTCATTTCAATTAAACTGAAAATAGAAAATAATCAAGCAATCAATAGCAGTATTTTCTTTGTCAGCCAGTTAATGATTGCCTGGATTTTTACAATCTAGATCTATTACAGCATTATAACAGAAATTGAAACATCAACTACCTTTTCCTTGCAGCTTTATGTTACCTTTCATTTTTCTTGTCACAACAGCAACCCTCTTATTGTAAACTGACAGATGGTGAGTAGGTCATCTAATGAGCCATATGGTTAAATATGGACTTGAGGCTCCTTAGTTACAGTCCAGACCTTTGGAACATAGAATAATGAAACAATATAACTGTCATTTTCTTTTTTCATATTTCTTAAGTTCAATCATGGAACACAGACGTGTTAGATATATCTTTTGTCAATTTTTATCCATTTTTTTTAGTATACTGGTTTATTCTCCTGATGTACAGGACCTTAAAACAATGATAGTATTTTTCCTCAAAAGCACGCCTAAGAAAAATAAGCAGTTTTGTACTTGCTTTCTTGCCATGGGTTAGAGACAGAGGTAGTATTCAGCAGGTTCTGACCAGTTCTGGAGAACCGATAACAGACATTTTGAGTAGTTCGGAGAACTGGCAAATACCACGTCTGACACCTCTGACACCCCTGCACCCATCTATTCTCTGCCTCTCAAGTCCCAGCTGATTGGCTGGGTCTTCTTTTGTTGCCCTTCACAGGAGAACGGAGCTGGAAAGCAGGTTAGTGGGGTGAGGAGGGAATGGAGATTTTACAGTATCCTTCCCCTGCCATGCCCATCAAGCCACATCCACCAAGCGAAGCCAAACCCACCAAGCCATGCCCACAGAAACAGTAGTAATAAAAATTGAATCCCACCACTGGTTAGAGATATGAGAAGACAGGGGAATCCAGTAATTAAGAGTCACGGTAATCATGGAATATGCCATGGCCAAAATGAAGAAAGGGGTTGAAATCAGGAAAGGCATTTTTTTGAGCTAGGTTTCACATGTGGGAGACTAGATTTTTGTGTGAACTACGTCATGTCATATCCTAAAACAAAGCATCAGATTATGAGAATTGTGAATGTACAAAATAAAAATAGCATATAACTATTTGAGTGACTGCTACAAAGAAGAGGGGGTCAACCTATTTTCCAAAGCAGCAGAAGACAAGACAAAAAACAATGGATAGAAACTAATCAAGGAGAGGAGCCATCACTGGATGCTTTTAAGAAGAGACTGCATTTGCTAGAATTTCTAAGAACTTTTAACTTTTAAGAAGAGACTGAATTTGCTAGATCAATTCTCAAATACAGCTCATTTGTATCTGGAACCCACATTGCATATCGGACATGACTTGAAATTTTAGGCTTAGACAACTTAGAACTATGCTGCCTTCAGTCTGACCTAAGCATAGTACATAAAATTATCGATTGCAATGTTCTATCCATATATATATATATAGTGTGCTCGTGTATTGTTGTGGTTGAACAGAATGTGCAACAGAGTGGTCAATGTCTGGAATACACTACCTGACTCTGTGGTTTCTTCCCCAAACCCCAAAAACTTTAACTTCAGACTGTCTACTGTTGACTTCACCCCATTCCTAAGAGGTCTGTAAGGGGCGTGCATAAGCCCACCAATCTTTGTCCTAATGTTCCCTTTTATTCATATCCATTTCATATATTCATAATCATGTTTATACTTATACCTGTTATATAATACATGCTTGACAAAAAAAAATGAATAGTCACTTGTCTCAAATGCTATAAGGGGTTAAATAGGTGCTTAAATAGGGGGTTGGACTAGAAGAGCACTCAGGTCTCTTCCAACTCTGTTATTCTGTTATCTGTTATCAACTTTCTGGTATCTGTTAAGTCTTCAGAATCAATACCTGTCCTGCTATGAGATACAGGAGTTTAGGAAGTGCTATATTACTGGGGAATGCGGCAGTCAGTAAAAAAACAAAAACAATGCCCTGGTACCTAATCCCTACTGAAAGTTGTATACATGCTATCAATTAGCATAATTGTTGAAATATATTGTGAGCCAGGTTGTTCATGAATTAGAATTCATTAAGGCAATGAAATGTACAGTTAACTACTAGGGCAGGGAGAAGGAAGGGATCTAACAGATGCCACTTCAATTTTCTGTATGGAAGATGATGGTTATAATATTAGGCTAGGGAAACTCAATAAAATTGAAGTCAGCCATCTAACTTACAAGGTGATCTTGAGTCATATATTGGTTTTCAGATTATCATGGTGTATAATGTTGTTACAAGAATGTGAAATAAGCTGGGAATAGGCTATAAGGTGGGATAGGCACTGAGTACAACATTTGAAGTCTTTGATGGAAACCCAGAATAAATTTGGGACCTAAGGGATTCCATAGCATGCTAGGTTACTTTTTAAAACCTAGTACTCTATGGTGCACTGAAAAAGGATGTTTTGTGTCTTCTTCCTCTGTCTGTTTAGAACTGCAAACACAACACAGGTGGTCGATATTGTGATAGATGTCTTCCTGGTTTCTATGGAGATGCTACTAAAGGGAAAGCTGATGATTGCCAGCTGTGTGCCTGCCCACTGAGTATATCTTCAAACAAGTAAGCTGCAAATTCAGTCAGTAAAAATACTACCAAATTGTTCCTTGAAGTATTCCTTCATCAGTTATAGTAGTCCATGAGAAGAAAAATTAGCATCAATGTACAACAAAAATTCACCAGTCCTTTTATCTCAGTTCTGGGTAAAGCAATAAACATCACCACAAAGTACCTTTTCATTACAATCGCACAGTGCTTTATTTTATATTCCACCATTTTCACAATGTTCAGATAAAAGGGAAAAGGAAAACACTACTGTAATAGATCTATTATGATCCCAGAAGTTCAGTTTGGTAGGAGGATCTTTAGCTCTAGAGATTTTCTACAGTTCTCAGCAGAACATTTGGTGAACTGGGGTTAAACCTATACAGTTCACATTGGAATAGGAATAGCTAATTTCTTGAATCTTGTAGACTGGAAAAAGTCTTGCTTTGCTAATAACTAGCTGGATGACTCTTCTTATGACAGAGCTTTTATACATTTTATTATAATATGCTTTTATAATAAAAGCACATGGTCCAGAAAGAAACCATAATTTCCTCTTGACAGAGGGACAAGCAAACCTTCCCATTTTCAGACAATAAACAGAAGGCAGGGATGGGATCTGACCGGTGTAACTACCGGTTCAGTGATTTTACATTTTACTCTCCATCTTTGTGCTGTGCTTCTCCTTACATAAATGAAATTATTTCTCTCCTTTCTCCTTCCCTGAATCTCTCACAATTTTTTTGATAAACAGAGTTGTCATCTAGGGGGCAGGCAAATGAACTTATATGTGACATGGCATTTTGGGGTCCAAAGGATTATGATGTCAAAATTTAGATGCAAATCACCATTTTCAGTGGTTTGATTTTTTTTTTCACACATTTTTGTTTTTAAGTATCCTACAATTGGTCCAGGAACTCTCGTGAACTTATTCTTTGCAAGCAAGCGAATAATAACCAATTTGTCCCAATGACCAAAAAGAAGAGCTTATTTCTTTTTTTCTGCTCCTCTGTCAGTGACAACTTAATTCATACAGCCCAGAGTGTAGTGGGAATGCCCACAAAAATATCTTCTGACTTAAAACACCCTTTTATATAATCCATCTGGGCTTTGGTTACTGGAAAATAAGTTCCATTAAATTTAATGATAAATTAATAAATTTAATTTCCTAAGTAGATTCACATTTGTTTTCTGCTGCCAATCAGAAACTTTAGACTTCAGCAGAAAACACAATAATTAAAACCACAGCTTGTATGGTGTCTTTTAATAATGGTTACCTGTCAATTCATAAAACTTGTTAAAAATCTGACTTAGGTCTTATAATGTTGCAGGTGTTAATTGTTAGTAGAAGAAAGACTGTTGCCATTACTTGCTTATATTTATTGCACTGCTACAATCACGTTAAACTAAGCTTTATCCTAAGGCTGCAAACCTACTGCTGAGTTGTTTGGAAAATTTAACATCTATGTAGTGCAAACAAATCTCAAAGTGAAATACAAGGAAGAATAATTGAAGACTGATCTCTTTAAAATAGTAGAGTGACAGGTACCCTGTTGTTTCAAACTGCTTGTATCTTCCAGTATGCCAGCAGATTACCTCCTTCCAGTGTGTCAATCAGATAGGGGAGAAAAAGAAATATGGAGGGAAAAGAGACTAGAAGGCAGAGCTACACAGCTAGGGTAAAATGTCTTCAGAGATAATGAACTTATTATATACATGTAAATGTCTGGATTCCCCAAAAGAAGCAACTTTGCAGTTGCTACAATACTTGTCAAAAAGAGAGGAAAAATGTCAAATAAATCAATAGAAAGCTCCATTTGTGATATATGCAACTTTTTTGAAACTTCAGGCTAGAAGTGGTGGAAAAACTGCTATTATGGTGAGAATGATTAGTGGACTTTGCAATCAGTTTCTGCTACTTGGGGGCAAGTCCCTTTGAATTCTGCAAGATTTATTTTTGAGGAAATATTTCTAGGTTTACCTGACAATATGTTGAAAAGATTAGAAATGCCTTCCTGACTGGGAATAGAATTGCTTTATGGATCGTAACTAATTGGTATGGAAAGCATTGTTAGCAGAATGAGAAGGACTGTGATTGCTTGGCTAGTCCCACATCCTCATTCTTCCCCTGAAATCTGCTCCAGAGATTTAGAAAACTATTCAAAATAGCTCAGAAGGTTGCAATCAGGAAACTATGTTCTCCTATTCTAAGAACATCTTCTGCCAACAGAAAGTCAACAAGTAGATACTGCCTTGAGGCAAGCTTATAGTAAGATGTTAGATGCTAGTTATTTAGTCAGTTGATTTATGCAATGACATGCTGATAGATAAAGTCTTTTAAAAAGCAGCATGATTCTCAACTTTATTTCTCTTCAGTGCAGGAGAGTGGTTTATCTGTTTATGTAATCCAGGATTATTGAACATTCCCATCAATTGTCCTTCAGCTGCAGTGAACTTTCACTTGGGAATCTAATGTTGCCAGGCCCTTGGGGGCTCAGACAAACAGCTGTACATTCCTGGTTTTTAAAATGGAGTAGAGTCTCATTGATAGACCAAAGGCCCATAACAACATGTCATTTTGGAGCTGCCACCCGTTTGAGCTATATCCAGTGTCGGCAGAAATAGCTCCACTGGCTGGAGCCAAACCCTAAGCTCTGTGTGTGAGACCAGACAGACTTTCCCCTTGCTCTGTTTTGAAAGCAGCGCTCTCAGAAAACAATAGCAGTTATGCTGCTAATGAATTTCTTTCTATGGTTTTTCCCTAACCCGGTTCTTGCTCTCCACCACCAACAAAGTTTTAGCCCCACGTGTCATTTGGACCAAACTCATGGATTCATTTGTGATGGATGTCCCTCTGGGTATGCTGGCTTACGCTGTGAAAGGTAAGAAAGTTTTGCATGCTTTTTTTTTAATATATATCTTTAAAAGACCTATGGTACTGCCCCCATAATTGCAATAGAGTATCACTGGTATTCAGGAATCCTATTTTAATCAGAAAATTTCTTCAGCTGCTTTATGAGCCAACAGGTATAATTTTCCAGATAAGCATGAAGTATTATATTGAAAAACTTTTCTCTCCCTCCCTCCCTCCCTCCCTCCCTCCCTCCCTCCCTCCCTCCCTCTCTCTCGTCGATTTTGCTGGGTTTTGAGAATGGTTTAATTGTTGTTATACTGTCTTCCAAATTTGTTTGGAATACCAAGACTGTATTTAATCAATTATTCAGTGAGTTGCCATTTCATCTCCTCAGAATGAGCCAAACAATACAAGTGAGAAAGAAGACGAGATTTATTTACCTTAATTATTTTTAATTGTGTGTTTTCGAACTTATTAGCTTAGGAGTCTTTAAAATGTTTATTCAGCATCTGAAAACAGGATTATTGACACTGTCTCACTTTTACAAATATTTCATAAGCGTTCTCCCACCCACCCACCGCTTTCTGGATGATAAAAATGAATGACTCCCCAAGTGAGTGAACAAAGACAAATGTAGACATTTGGCAGTCAGTGATGAAAACTGTACATCTTCACTTTGTTCTTTTGTTTTCTGTCTTTTGCTCTTTCCTTGAAGTGAGTTGAGTGAAATGTTTTTAAAATTGTAACAATTAAAAGTCAATAAAAGATGGGCATGATTCAAAGGGGGAGCATTAATTGAAGACAGTTTCCTCTTTCTAGCTTTCTGTCCTGTATTTTAAAATCCCATATTTTTGTTGTGATGCTCCGTTGAATTATAACTGATTCCTGGTAATTCTGGATGAATGGTCTCCAAGATACTCTTCTCAGCTCATTATGCAATTCTTGCAGGTGTATTTTGGGGGCTTCCAGCACTCCATCTTGTCTAGCTCTACAAGCTGGCCTGGAGACCCAATGGGGGAGAGAAGTACCACACTAGAGGTGGCAAACCCCACCTCCCCCTGTGCTCCTGGCTTTCCTCCACCCATTTTTAATCTCATATTACTATACCTTCATTGTTTATTCCATTGTTTATCTTTATTGTTTCATTACTTTGATACTATTACGTTTACTCTTCATTTCTCTGTTTTTATTGTTGTAAGCCGCCCAGGGTAGTCCTTCAGCAAGATGGGCGGCAAATAAATTTCACACAAAAAAGTAAATATTCACTTTATGTCTTTTAGCTGCTGCTTCTCCCTTTATCTCTTTACCCAGTATGGTAACATCATATTTTTCATAGATGCATCAGTCCTCTTGAAGTTTCCCTAGTTTTAGTTTCATGATACTTGCTTCCCGTGAACATTCTGTCTTGATGTCTTCTAGTGCTGAAGATTGGCTCTCTCGGCTGCCCAAGGAATGTGAAGCAGCTTTCTCCAGCACTCTATATGAAAGGAGCCAATCTTCTTGCTCTTGTGCAGAGTCCATCCATGTATCTTCCAGTATTTTATAACTGGAATATCATTCAATTGGCCAGCCTAATTTTTCTTTGATTGAAGTGTCTCCATCTTTCAAGAATTTGTCTAGGCCCTTCAATGCTTTTAAGACCATTGTTATTCTTTTTTCAATCTTTTTTACATATTCATCCTCTTCATCAATAGTGGAGCTTAAATAATAATAACTGACAACTACTTCTGTCATTGTGTACTGTTGATGTAATGTTCTTGTTGATGTAATTTTAGTTTTCTTCATGTTCAGTGAAAGCCCTGTCTTTAACTTCCTGTTTTACTTCTAGTATGTTTGTTCTTAGGTCTCCTTTAGTTTCTGCAGCCAATGTAGTGTCCACATATCTCTTATTTACATTCTTTCTACCAATTCCAAGCTTTAGTTTTTCCATCCTTGCAATTTATATTATGTATTTAGATGTGATGGTGATAGAATGTATGTATACAGGTATGGTGATATAATATAGCCCTCTTTGAGTGCTTTTCTGATGGTAAAACGTTTCACATTACGAAATGTGGCTTCCCAATTATTCTAGAAATTTCATAACTGAAGAATCAAAAGCTGGGATATGCCTTTGCTTTGAAAAGCTTCCTAAATCTTGAATTATCAACATAATCAAAAGCTTTAAAGTATTCGGTCAAACTGGAGTAGAGTTGTTTTTAATACTCTGTTACTATTTCAATCGACCATCTAATATTAGCTATAAGTTCTCATGTTCCCTTATTATTTCTGACACCTGCTTGTTCTATTACACTTCTCTCTCCATATAGGGCCTTGAACTCTTCTGCAGAATTTCCAACAGAATCTTTCTATTAGGACTATGGTCTTATAATTAGGATATCGCTTTACATCTAATTTTTTTAGGGCTGGGCATGTATATGGATATTTTCTATTCTGATCCATATTTTTTTTCATGATTGTTGACTGAGAACTATCATGATCTTTATCATTTCTCTACTTGAAGAGCTCTATGGCATTTATAAAAAAAAACAAAAACTAAACTCTCCCACCATATCCTGCTGACATTACTTCTTGTGCTCTGTAACTGCTTATTGGTCAGGGATATGCCACTTGTATTGAGATTAACCTTCATACCTGCAAATCATTCCATTATCTATCTCTGGTGGTACTCCCTGGTTTCTCAAGCAAAGACATAGGGAAAGTCCCATATAATTAACTTAAAAATTTATCCCCTTTAGCATTTTTGCTCAACTTTGTTTCTTCAAGCTGATTTTTTCTTGAATTAATTCCTACTTTTAAAGAAATATTATTGTGTAAAACTATTTCAAATTTTGATTCATCCATTTTCAGATTTCTACTTCTTGTTGCATCTGAGAATCTTTTCTTTGCTGCAAATTATTCAGGTTCTGAATCAAAAACAAGGCATAGCTTTACAAATATACATACATTTTCATCTGCTACATCGTAAGTATAACATCACAAACATTCTGTATGCTTCATACATCAACATATTCAGTAGCCATTACCCATCTTGCCCTACTCTTTCCTCAGTACTGAATCATTTGCCAAGCATTGATTCACTCTCATAATATTTTATTTACATCATATAATATTCTAATTACATTGGGCAACCGACTTTTAGAAAAATGTTCCATAATTCAGGCCTGTTCACTTTATCATATACTTTCTCTAAATCGACAAGCATAAAATAATCTACACAGCCCCTGCCTAGCTAAAGCTACCTTTTTCAAGTTTTGTCAATGTCTTCTCATTGCATTCTCTCATCATTCTCTTCTCTCATCCTTTTGATTAAAATTATGCCAAAAACTTCCCAACCACATTTAGCAAACTAATTTCCCTGTCATTCTCCATTCGTTCTTCCTACCTTTCCTTTTGTATAGCAGAACAATGACGGTTCTTCTGAATGTCAGCTAGAGATGCACGCATCAAACATTAAACATGTTGTGCAACCACTTCTTAAGCAAACCATATTGATATTTTAACAGTTATACATACCATCTATGCTTGCAACTTTACTGTTTTCCAAGATCATTACAGCATTTATGACTTCGAGGACATCATTTTTTTCTTTTCTTTTGACATTAACATTTGTAAAACTTGTTTCAGGTCTTCAACATATTGTCATCATTCTCATGCATTTTTTAAAAAAAAATACTCCTTCAAGCATTGTGTCATTTCAATTTCATCCTAAATTCTTTCTTTATGTTTGTTTTCAATTCTCTTTGCTCTAGTAAAAGATTCTTGTTTGGACTTCTAGTCTTACTTCCAAATAATTTTATATTTCTATCAAAATTGTTTTACATCTTCTCTACCTCTTTTAATTGTTCTTTGCAATAGTTTTTTGCAACTATCTTGCAAAAAAGATCCATATATATGGATCTTTGGTTATTCGAGTTTTCTCCCGCGTAAGATTGGAAGTATCTAGGCAACGTTTCGATGAAGTCTCATTCATCATCTTCAGGCTTCTGTCTTCAGCTCTGTGCTTCTCAGAGTAATGTGAGCTTGCAGCTGCTTCTTCCTTTTAACTGCTAGTGGGGGTGTGACTTGA